CAGCTGTTGTCGGTGAGTTGGGAACTAGGAAGACTATACCGAAATAACCTCTGGACAACTCCAGCATCCTGTTATGGTGCTGTCAGGTAGGCACTGGACTGCTAACCACAAGATCAGTGGTCCGTACTCACCAGCTGCTCCTCACAACCCTATAGGGTTGCTATGAGTTGGAACCTACTCATCAGCACTTAACAACAACTGGACAACTGCAGTGTAGAAATGATACAATTGAGGATATTTTCCTAAATGTGAGAGATTTAAAAAACAAAACAAAAACAAAACCCTTATAAAATATGCAAATATTTAAATAGCCTTTCCTCATTTGCTTCTTCCTTTACCACCTACCTCTCATATAAAGTACATTCAAAGCATAAATCAAAATGATTAAGTGAGGTTGAAGAAAGACCTCAGATATTCAAATATATTGCAAGAATTTTTAACTCTGAAGGAAACTCATTAAATTGGAGCTTGTACAAGGAAAGATACATGGTCTTATTAAGTAAATGTTACATAATAAAAAAACATACATAGTAACTTCTTGAATGCTTATTAGTCAGAATTGCTTAATTTGATAGGGGTAGTGGTGGTTATGAAGTGCCATTGAGTTAGTTCTGACTCATAGTGATCCTATATAGGGTTTCCAAGGATGGGCTGGTGAGTTTGAACTGCCGACTATGTGGCTAGCAGTCAAGTGCTTACCCTAGAGCACCACAGAGCAGAGGTAATGGAGAGAGATGCTAAAAAGCTAATCTAAATTGGGTTTATTTATCTAATAAGTTAACACATGGGGTTTACTCTAGAGCTGGGTCAAACTCATCCACTGTAAAGAAATTCAACCAAGTCCCATCCTAACACACACAGGTTAGATTGTGCTTATTATTCTCTACTCCAGGAGACTTTAAGGAGCCATGGTGGTGCTGTAGGATAAGTACAGGCCTGCTTAACTGTAAGGTCAGCTGTTCAAACCCACCAGCCACTCCATCCCATAAAGTTTCAGTCTTAGAAACCCTTGGTTTCTGGACATAGGTCCGCATTGAGTTGGAATCAACTCGATGGCAGAAGATTTTAGAACAATTACCATCAAATGATGAACGAAGAAATAAGTACCCCTTTTCATGAGCATTCAAGTTACAGCCTTTAAATAATATTTTCACATTGGCTGGCATCTGCCTCCACCTTTGCTGGCGTTCAAAAAAGACACTGAAAACAGATGTTAGAATCATAGCATTTTTAAGCCAGAGGTATCCTCAGACTTTGCTTTACAAAGATACAAATGAGACTTCCGAAAGGTTAGAAAGGTCAGATTTAACAAGAGTCTTTTTCAAATGTCTGTTAGAGGTACTTTAATGATGTGCTGTGGTTTTGGGGAGGGACAAGAGCCCAATTTTAAGCACAGCCATAGAGAGCCCTGGTGTGGCACTGCAGGTTAATGCCCTGGACTACAAGATCGGTTTGAACCACAAGGTCAGTGGTTCAAGCTCACCAGCTGCTCCTTAGAAACCCTACACTATGAGTCAGAACCAACAATAGAGAGGAAGCTGGACATACAGAAAGGAGCTTTGGAGGTATAGGCAGGGACCTGGTTAGCAGTGCTGCCTTTGCCATTAGTTAACTTTGTAGCACCAGGCAGGTTCTTTACTGTACAGAGCCCCTACTTCCTTTAATTTATAAAATAGAAGTCCTAAGATCTAAGGCACCAGGTTGCCATGAGGACAAAGTAGAGACATCACTCATGAAAAACTTAAAATTTAGTCTCTGCCTTATTACCAACATTGAACGTTTACATGCGTTAGTTTATTTTAATTTGCAAAGTCACTGGTATTAACACTGTTTACAGATGGTGTTCAGTGCCATTGAGTTGGTTCTGACATACGGCGACTCTATGTGGGATTTCCAAGAAACCCTGGTGGGTTTAAGCCACCGACCTTGCAGTTAGCAGTCCAGTGCTGATCCCACAGCCCACCCCAAGCATCCTGTTTACAGGTGAAGCTGGGGAACTGGTAGTTCAGGGGTAGAATTGTCACCTCCCCTCCTGGATTCCCATCTAATGCACCTCATGATCAGTTAGTCCCTCAGTGGAGGCTTGGTGCTCCTGTGGTGCTGAACAGATTTCAGCGGCACTTAAGAGCGAAAACAGACTAGGAAGAAAGGCCTGGCAATTTGCTTCTGAAAACCAGCCAATGAAAACCTTATGTATCACAGCAGTCAGCTTCACTCAATTGTCGGGAAGGCACAGGACTGGACCACATTTCATTCCATTTGTTGTGCGTGGGGTCTCCCGTGACAGCTACCACCACTACCACCAGCAGAGGGGTACCTGAGGCTAAGAGGAATGAAGGTCATATAGTCAGTAAATGGGGTACCGCAGTTAAGACCCAGATCTGTGGAACTCTAAATAAAAACTCCCACTCTTCACGGACCCTAGTGCAGCACATGGCAGATGCTCCATGAATGTTTCATGAGTAAAATACCTGCTGGGAGGAAATATCAAAAGAGAAATAAGATACCAATTTACATTTCTCAGAAAACTGTGTAAATATCATAAAAGTGATATGAACCATATAAATCCTTCTGAAAGACCTTTGTAACCCTTAATGAAATAAGCAAAATGATTGGTATTTGAATGTTGAGGTTTATTCCTCTAGAAAGCATCTCTTCAGACCCTTAAAGGCACTGTGTTAAACACTGCTTCATCAGTCTAACTCAGTCATTTTAAAAGGTCAAAGTTGCATTTTAATGGGTTGTAAAGAGGCAGCATCGGTGGACTCAAGCATGGCAACAGTAGTGAGGTTGGCCCAGGATCGGGCAGTCTTTCGTTCTGCTGTGCATAAGGTGGCTATGGGTCGGTTCCAACTCAACAGCACTAATAACAACAGCAAAGATTGAAAAGCCTCCGAACCCTGCACGGGGTCACTATGAGTTGGAACCTACTCCACAACACTTAACAACAATGCACACTTTATTACATAACAGTGTTGTTATTCATATGGAGCCCTGGTGTGGCGATAGAGAATAAGCACTAGATTGCTAACCCCAAGATCAGTGGTTCAAACATGCCAGCTACTCCTCTAAAACCCTATACAGCAGGGGTGGGGAACGTCTGGTTCAGGGGCCATATAAGGCCCTCAAAATAGTTTGGTCTGGCCGTACAAGGCAACTGCAGTTCCAGACATCACATTGTTGTGTTGTGAAGGGCCATCGAGTCGGTTCCAACCCATAGCGACCCTGTATAGGGTTTCCGAGGAGCATCTGGTGAGCTTGAACCACCGACCTTGAAGTTCAAACAGCTTTGCAGTCTGGCTTATTAACTCAGGACTCCAGCCATAACATTGTTGTTGTTAAGTGCTGTCGAGTCGGTTCCGACCCATAGTGACCCTGTGCAGGGTTTCCGAGGCTGTAAATCTTTACGGGAGCAGAAAGTCTCATCTTTGTCCTGTGGAGCGGCTGGTAATTTCAAACTGCTGACCTTGCGGTTCGCAGCCCGATTCGTAACCACTACGCTACCAGAGCTCCTTAGCCATAACATTAGGGTTGAGTTAATTAAATGTTTGACCAAATAAAGCTGGCTAAATTTTAAGTTGATAATTTTGTATGGCCCATGAATGATGTTACAAATTTTGGTAGATAAAAGTTCCCCTCCTCTGTTTGTTATACAGGGTTGCTGTGAGCTGGAGCTGACATGATGGCACTTAAGAACATTCATATGGACAATACATTGGTCCCTGTTTTAAGGGAGTTAAATTTTTTGCAGAAGAGGGTTCTAGTTCTTATACACTCTGATGATTTACTTTTAGCCATAACTATAAAGATGCCACCTTAAAAAAAAAATTCCTTTATTATATTGCTTCTATGGGAATACGATCTGTAATGATCCATTTAAAATTAAAATGTAAGTTAACTCCACTGTTGGCATTGAGAGCTGGTGGGGGAAAAGAAGAGAGAAGGGATGAGTGGCGTTTGTTATAACGTATCTTCAAGTTTGATTTAAAGAAAAAGTCACTGTGGTTTCAGTAAGATGAGGATATGTGCCTCAGTGTTTCAAAGATAATGAAGTATATAACTGTGGAGCCTTTGTGTCTATAGCTTCCTCAGTTCTGAATAAAACAGGAGTTTGTTTGTTTTTTATAGGAATATTACACTTAAATTTTTACACTGGATTGGTTTTCTAATAGATAATTTGAAACAATACAGAGTTTTCAAAAGAGTGAAATCTACTAAGCCAGAGAAGTAGTGTTTTTATGTTGCTTAGAAATAGCATTTAAAAAATGTTTTAACAAAACATTTGCAAGTACTTTCAGAACAAGCTAATGGAGATTTTGATACTGGTAACCCAGGTCAAATTCTTTGGTCTATAAATGAGCAGGCCTTGTATATTTCTGGTTTAATTTTCACTGGTTTCTCATCACTCACCACCTGACAATACTGCCATGGAGGATTATGTTTGACTTGAGCAAATTAGGTGCTAAGTGTATCAGGAGCACCCTCTTGAGGACATATTTGTGTAAGGAAGCAAAAATGTTTTAATTCGCTGACAACCAAATCACTTGCCATCATCTGGATTCCTACTCATGTGTGTCAGGACAGAACTGTGCTCCAGAGCATTTTCAGTGGATGTTTTTTGGGGAGATCAACATGCCTTTCTTCCAAAGGTCCTCGGTGGACTTGAAACCTGTAACCTTTCAGTTAACAGTTGAGTGTGTTGACTCTTTGTATCACCCCAGTCACTACCACCGAGTCTCTTCCTACTCATAATGACCCTATAGACCAAAGGGTTTCCGAGACTAAATCTTCATGGCAGCAGACAGCCTTTCCGCTGTGGATCAGCTGTGGGCTCCATCCTCTGACCTTACAGTTAGCAACCCAATGCTTATTCCATAGTTCTATCAGCTCTCCCTTTGTACCACTCTGCCCTTCACCATACATTGTGTGAAGTTTCAATGCCGGGGAGAAGGAATAGATTTCTTGATAGTCACAAACTCATTTTTGGTGTTTTGTTTCAGGTGAGCCATCATCCACCTATTTCTGCATGTCACGCGGAGTCTAGACATTTTGTTTTCTGGCAAGGTAACGTGCAAATACATTTGACCTCCCATCATTTTTATAACGTAATAGATGTATTCAGAAATCACTAAACATAGTTGTTAAGATCAGAAGTGGCTCTTGGATTTGGGCCTTCCTAGATGAATCTCTCATCACTCATTTCTGAACCGAAATTGATGTTTTTCGATTTTATAAGTATTCACTAGTATCATGTAGTTGTTCACTTTAAAAAGGAATCCTAAATCTTTATCAGGACTACCGTAATTTATTCCTGTAATGTTCCCTCTATTTCATTCCTTGACTACTTGTATCTTATATATCCTACTTTTGTTGTTGTGTTGTTGTTAAGTGTATCAAATCGGTTCCGACCCATAGAGACCCTGTATAGGGCTTCCGAGGAGTGGCTGGTGAGCTTGAACTGCCAACTTTATGGTTCAAACCAACTTTGCAGTGCAGCGCATACATTCTATATCTTGTAACCATATATCCTGAGACACTAAGTAGCTATAGTTGTTTACTAGCATCTAAACAGTCAGCGGATTTATTATTTCTGAAAGGTTCAAATTTATATTTTGAAATCACATATTACAATGCTGAGTTTTCTCTGAACATTGTTATAAAATAATTAGAAAATAGTATTTTTTTCTTATTATAGTCATACTAAATAAGTTTGAAGTGGCATCTCATTGTGGTGTTGTTTTTTACTTTTCTGCTTATAATATAGAGCATTTTTCCATGTGATTACTGATCATTTGCATTTAAGTTGCATTGTCTTTTTATTATTGAGTTATAAGACTTTTGTATATATATTCTAGATACAAGTCCCTTATTAGACATATGATTTGTAAGTATTCTCTCCTGTTCAGTGACTTTTATTTTCACTTTCTTGATGCTGGCCTTTGCTACAACAAGAGTTTATAATTTTGACTAACTCTAATTTATCTTGTTTTTCTTCTTCTTTTTTGTTTGCTCGTACTTTTAGTTTTATATCTAGAAACCATTACCAATACAAGTGTAGTCTCTCCAAAGAGTTTTATAGCTTTCGGTTTTATATTTCGCTCTTTGGTCCCCTTCTAGTTAACCTATGGTGTGAGGTAGGGATTCGACTTCATCCTTTTGTACATGGGCTTCCAGTTGTTTCAGCACCATTTATTGACAAAAACTTGTTTATCCCCCATTGGGTGGTCTTAGTTCCAATTATTTTAAGTTGTTTTGTTTTGTTTTTAAGGACTGTTTAAACCTTTGATTGTAGTTTAGGTGGAAGTGTACAGAACAAGTCAGTTTTCCATGAAACATTTTCTATATATTTTGTTTCATGACACTGTTTACAATCCCCTCAATGAAACAGCACTCTTCCACTGCTCTCCTGGGTTCCCTGTTCCCATTCATTCTTCTTTCCTGTCCCTTTGTACCTTCTAAGCTTTGTTTTGGAGAAAACAGTACTGTTTCCATCTCTTATGATTGATCGTACTGAGGGGTACATTTCTCTCTGATGGTACTACTCACTTTTCAGGCCTGTCCATTGTTTGGCTGCAAGTTATCCCTTGGGGTGGGTTTACTTCCAGGCTTGGGGTGTTGTCAGGGGCCACAGTCTCAGGAACTCCATCATTCAGTCTCTAGCTCCGTCAGTATGTCTAATAATTCTTTTTTATCATTTCAAATTTTACTGTACCTTTTTTTCCCCTCCCTCTCTGTCCAGCACCTTTTATTGTAATCCTAACAGAGCAGTAAATTATGGTAGTCAGGCACCATTTGGTTCTTCTGGTCTCAGGGTAGTGGAGGCTGGGGTTCACATGATTCGTTAGTCCTTTGGACTAATTATTTTCTTAAGTCTTTGATTTTCTTCACTCTGCTTTACTCTGGATAGGGAGAGACCAATATTTACATCTTACATGGTTTCTTGCAAGTTTTTAAGAGTCCAGTTGCTACTCACCTTAGTAGTTTATAGAATATTGTCTTCGTGGACTGGTGGTGGTGGTGGTGGTTATGTGCTGTGGAGTTAGTTCCAATTAATAGTGTCCCTGCATAGGGTTTCCGAGGCTGTAAATCTTTACAGGAGCAGAAAACCTCAGCTATTTCCATGGAACTGCTGGTAGTTCAAACTGCTTGAGATTAGCAGCCTGATTTGTCTTGTAACCACTGTCAGTTGAGCGACATGTCCCTCAAGACTGTGGTCCCAGGCTCCCAGGCCCAGTGACTCATTCCCTCAAGGTGTTTGGGTATGGCTAAGATGTGTTTATACCTTTTCCTCCTGTATGCTCTGCTCTATTGTTGGACATATTTGCAGCACGTGCAAATATGAGAGGGATTCATGGAAAAGTGGGATTAAAAGATAATGGAATTTCCCCACAAGCTTTCTGAAGTCCCCTCATACATATGTAGAAATGTCCTCTACCAAATGGATATATTCATTGCTCATGGTTGTACCACCTTTCATTTCCCCATATCTATTCAGCATGCTCTGTCTACCTGTGTATCTCCTCGTACATACTGCTTATGATTACTATTGCAGGACCATGTTGGTGATCGTTTTAACTTTTACTCTTGTGTTCCTCCGAATGTCTTCATGTGCCTTGGTCATCCTGTGTTGTCCACCCAATATTGCATATTGCCTTTCCCTTCACCCGAGTTCATATATGTCTCTAATGACTTCTCTTCCCTCCTTCTTCCATCAAAGAATGTTTCTTTCTGTGTGTAAACTTTTTCTGGATAGTTGTTGTTGTTTGTTGTACCATTGAGTCGGTTCCAACCCATAACGACCCTGTATAGGGTTTCTGAGGAGCGGCTGGTGAGCTTGAACCACCGATGTTGTGGTTCAAATGACTTTGCAGTCCAGCGCATTAATCCACAGCGCCACGGTCATATACAATATATGTCCCTTTGTGATTGACATATTTCGCTTAGCTTAATGTGTCTGGGTTCATCCATGTTATGAGGTGTTTCACAAATTCCCCATTATTCTTTAATGTTGTGTATTATCATACTTTGTTTATTCATTCATCCATCATTGGATACTTAGCAGTTTCCATCTTTTTGCTATTGGAAATAATGCTGTGGTAAACATGGGTGTGCATATATATATCTGTGTAATGGCTCTTATTTCTCTAGGACATATACTTAATACCTAGGATACTGAGTGATGTAGAAAGCATCTAAGACGATAGAAGGAATACACAGAGTCACTGTACCAAAAATAAATGGTTGATGTTCAACCCTTTCAAAAGATGTCTAATGTTCAAGAGCCTACAGTACTGAAGGAAGAAGTCCAAGGTGTGCTTAAGACATTGGCAAAGAACAGACTCTAGGAATTGATGGATTTTTGACAAGCTAGGGATAACATTGCAAAGAATGAATATTCCAGAACACTAATAGTGCTCGTGAGGAACATGTACATAGACCAAGATGCAGTTGTTTGTACAGAAGAGGAAACACTAAATTGTTTAAAATCAGGAAAGGTATGTACCAGGGTTGTATTCTTTCACTGTACTTATTCAATCTGTATACTGAACAAATCATCCAAGAAGTTGGATAATATGAAGAAAAACGTGGCATCAGGATTGGAGGAAGACTCATTAACAACCTGCAATATGCAGATGGTGCAACCTTGCTTGCTGAAAATGAAGAGGACTTAAAATACTTACTGATGAAGATCAAATACCACAATCCTCAGTATGGATTGCCTCTCAATAAAAAGGAAACAAAAATCCTCACCACTGGACCAATAAACAACATCATGATAAATGGAGAAAAGATTGAAGTCATCAAAGACTTCAATTTGCTTGGATCCACTGTCAACACTCAGGGAAGCAGCAGTGAAGAAATCAAACATTAGGCAAATCTGTTGCACAAGACCTCTTTCAACGTGTTCAAGAGCAAAGATGTCAGTTTGAGGACTAAAATGTGCCAGACCCAAGCCATGGTATTTCGATTAGCTTTATATGCATGTGATAGTTCGACAATAAATAAGGGAGACTTTAGAAGAATTGATTTGCATTATGGTGTTGGAGAAGAATATTTACAAGTACCTTGGACTACTAGAAGAACAAGCCAGAGTGTTCCTTAGAAGCCAGGATGGAGATCCTTCGTTTCTCATACTTCAGACATATTATCAGGAGGGACCAGTCCCCAGAGAAGGATAATCATGCTAGGTAAAGTGGAAGGTCAGTGAAAAAGACGAAGATTCCCAACAAGATGAATTGGTACAGTGGCAGAAGCAATGGGCTCAAGCTTAGCAGCATTTGTGAAGATGGCACAGGACTCGTCAATGTTTCATTCTCTTGTGCATAAGGTCACTAAGAATTGGACCTGTCTCGGTGACACCTAACAGCAACAACAGCATCTAGGATATTTACCTAGTAAAGGGCTTGCTGGGTCATATGGTATTTCTATTTGTGTACCATTTTACAGTTCAACTAGCAAATGTAAGAGTTTCCGTTTCTCCACACCTTTGCCAGCATTTGTTGTTTTCTGGGTTTTTGAACCTTGCTATTATTACTGGGGTGCAAAACTATCTTATTGTTGTTTGATTTACCAGCCACTCCTTGGAAACCCTCTACAGGGTCACTGAGTCAGAATCTACTGGTGGTGGTGGTGTGCTGTGAAGTTGGTTCAGGTTCATAGCAACCCGGTATAGGGTTTCCGAGGCTGTAAATCCTTACAGGAGCAGAAACCCTCATCTTTCTCCCATGAACCATTGGTAATTTCCAGCTACTGACCTTGAGGTTAGCAACCCAACTTGTAACCACTATGCTACCAGAGCTCCTACAATCTACTAGATGGCACTTAACAACAACAACAATGGCTAATGATACCAGTGTTTCTTTCTTTGTTTGTTGGTTGCCAGTATGTCTTCTTTGGTGAAGTGACTTTGCATGTCCTCTGCTCATCTTTGTAATTGGATTGTTGGTCTTTTTGTTGTTGAGGTGTTGGTGTTTTCTATAGATTTTAGAAATTACACCTGTGTCAAATATGTTGCTGCTAAAAATGTCCTCCCAATCTGTAGGTGCCCTTTTTACTTTTTTGAAGAAATCTTTTGATGCACACAAGTGTTTAATTTTTAGGAGGTCCTTAACATCTAATGTAACCTCTTCTGTTTGTAGTGTTGTGGTTATGTTTGGTAATCTATAGCATAAATTTCGGCCCTCAAAGTTTATCTTTTTTCTTTGATGGTCTTTATAGTTTTCAATCCTTCTTGAGTTAGTTTTTGTTTATGATGTGAAGTATGAATCCTGTTTCATTTTGCAAATGAATTGCTAGCACCATTGGTTAAAGAGACTATCACTATTCAATGGATTTTTTGGCTTTTGTCAATGATCAAGGGTCCATAAATGGATAGACTAATTTTGGGGTTCACACTTCTGTCCAACTGATCTATGTGTACCAGTACCAAGTTATTTTGACTATGGTGACTGTGTTGTTGTTGTTTTTTTTGTTTTTGTTTTTTTTTTAGTATTGCTTTGCTTATTCAGGGTTTCTTTCTTAAGGAATTTTTTTTTTTTTTTAACGAGTAAAAAACTTTCTTCCTTATACCTACCTATGTATTTCCCAATTCTGGTGCTTTCCTTTCTTTATATAGATTAACATTAACATCTGGTGTTATGTTCTTTCTCTCTGATGGGCTTCCTTTAACATTTTTTAAAGTATCGGTCTGTTGGTGATTAAATCTCTTAGCTTTCATATGTCTGAAAAAGTCTATATTTCGCCCTCATTTTGAAATATATTTTTATTGGGTATTAAAGTCTAGATTGATTTCCCCATCTCCCCCCTTTATCTCTAAAAACAGATTGCTCTGTTGTCTTTTGACATTGTTTCTGTTGTAAAGTCAGCTGTTGTCTGATCTATGCTCTTGTACATGACATGTAATATGTCTTGTCTTTCCCTGGCTGCTTCTAAGATTTCCCCTTCATCTCTGATTTTAATTAGTTTCATTATAATTGTTATTGTTAAATGTTGTCAAGTCAGTTCCAAATCATACTGACCCTTTATAGGGTTTCTGAGGAGCAGCAGGTGGGTTTGAACCACCACCCTGCAGTTCAAACCAACCTTGCAGTCCAGTACTCTTATACCACAGTGCCACACCAGGACCTTAGAGTTCTCTCTTTTTTAAAATTTCATGTTTCTTGAGACTAGGATTTATTGAGGGGTTTTTGTTTTGTTTTTTTATCTGCTAGATTGTTGTTGTTAAGTGCCATGGAGTCAGTGCCGACCCATAGCGACCTTATGCACAACAGAACGAAACACTGCCCGATCCTGGGCCAGCCTCACTATTGTTGCCACATTTGAGCCCATTGATGCTGCCACTCTGCCAATCCATCTCACTGGGAGTCTTCCTCTTTTTCTCTGACCCTCCACCTCACCAAACATGATATCCTTCTCCAGCGACTGGTCCCTCCTGACAATATGTACAAAGTATGAGAGACAAAGTTTGGCCACCCTGGCCTCCAAGGAGCACTCTGGCTACACTTCATCCAGCATAGATCTGTTGGTTCTTTGCTAGATTATAGTTTTCATCAAATTTGGAAAAATAAACCAACAGTCATGAAATTTTCAAATGTTTTCTGATTCCCCACCTTCTGTCAACGATGTATATTTTAGGCTACTTGAAGTTAGACAATCTTGGCATCATCTTTCAATGGTGTCTTTCACAATGTGTATATAATTTATCACCCTATTCTTTTGCTTTGATAGTTCTGAGTCTGTCTTTAACGTTCCATCTTGTTCTGGTGTGATCCCTTCATTTCCACTTATCCTGTGGACACTGCTGTAGCCTTTTATCTTGTCTCCTTCTAATCTTTCTTACCCTGGATCCACTCGCTGCCGTTTTCCGATTACCTTTACAAAGTCTTTATCTAATCTTACAAATTCAAACACCTCGTTTTCCCCAGTGCACACAATCCAGACTTTTCTGCCAGTCTATCTCCCCAGTCTGATTTTCTCCTCTTTCTAGACAACCCCGGAATACAGAGCACAACCACACCATGCATTTATACCTCTGCTTTCTGGAACAAGCAGTTCATCTGCCTTGTAGATGCCCGTATATTCTTCAAAGCACAGTTTAAATGGTCAAGTCCCTTCTCATGCTTTCCCCAGCATGTTGGTCATCCCTGCCACTCTGGTTGCAGTTCCTCAGATGACACACATAGCTGGGGCCTTTACCTTTGTGGGGGCATAGGCTGTTTTTCACTTCTGTCTGCCTTTCATGCTGTGAACTCCTCTGAAGCCAGGAACTTTATCTTATAATTTCATTTTCCTTGATTTGCTTCCAGTAGGGCATGAATAGTTATCCTACGAAAGAATTTGTTTTATTATGAAGACTTTGTGTTATGTAAATGATTATAATCATTTATCTGGCCTGACAGACTCCAGCTACCCTTCAAATATGTAATGTTTGGTATTTTCATTTCAGATGTGAGATGGAAAAACAAATTCTGGGGCAAATCCATGGAAATTGTTCCAATTGGCACAACACATGTCACTCTGCCAACGTAAGTTTTTCATCCTTGGTTAGAAACATGATCGAAGTTTGAGCCAAGAATCCCCCATCTTCCCTCAGGACACTGGGTATATATGTGTGTTTTCTGTTTATCTCTTTGATTGTTGTTGTTGTTAAGTGCCGTCGAGTCGGTTCAGACCCATAGCGACCCTGTATAAGGTTTCCAAGGAGCAGCTGGTGAGCTTGAACCGCCAACCTTGCAGTTCAAACAGCTTTGCAGTCTGACGCATTAACCCACAGCGCCACACCAGGACTCTTTGATAGTAGGTCCCAATGTTCTTTATTTTGAAAATCTCAAGTGTTCTTTCTCTCAAATGAAATACTTTCCAGAGACCTTGAATAGCTGCATTTTTAACTTATAGTTTCACTTCCTGACAAAATTAAGAATGTTAGTGTTTATTTAACACTATTTTCCTTTTAAGAAAGATATAACTATAGTATTGCAGGATCACTGATACTGCTTTATAAAGCAAAATGACCGTAGTATGTACTCTGCAACTGGGCTGCTTAGATTTGATTGCTAGCTCTGCCTCTTACGATTTAGTAATCTGTGGGCACACTCTTTAACCCTTTTACTCACCAGTCCCCTCACTGTAAAATGGGGAGAATAAACCACCTATGTAATAGAGTTGTTGTAAAGATTGTGTAAGTAATAAATGTATGTAAAGTACCTAAAATAGACTTGGTGCATAGTATATGCCATGTAAATGTTTGGTCTTATTATTAATATTTTTCTCATAATTATTATTTAACTTGGTAAGTAATATCTGAATACTTTCTGATTGTGTGTGATGCTGTAGGATAAGCACTGGACAGCTAACTGCAAGGTTGGTGGTTCAAATCCATCCACCACTCCTTGGAAATCCTTTACAGGGTCGCTATGAGTCAGAACTGATTCGACGGCACTTACCAACAACAACATATATAAAACTGTAAAATTCCCATACTTTCCCATTCCCACTTCCCTTTCCTAGCTCAGGGACTGTAGTAGACAAAGCACCTACTCTGGCTGTCAGTGCCGCCCTTAGTAAAGGAGAGAGTGGGCTGTTCCAGTGCTCACCAGCCACCCCACCCCCCCAGCCCAACACCTCTGACTCCATCATCCTCTCTGCCTTACACATTGCCTGTGGAGTAGCAGCGCATGGGATACCCAATGTGGAGTGGGCGTTCAGTCAGCATGGATTCCCTGAATGAAGGAGGCATGAGGAATTCATTACCTGGCTGGTTTCATCAAATAGCAGCTCGCTTGCGGGAGTGATTATTTCCCCCTTTGCCTCCTTTTTAGTTTCGGAGATCATTTTGAGTGGAACAAAGTGACCTCCTGCATTCATAACATCTTAAGCGGCCAGAGGTGGATTGAGCACTATGGAGAGATCATCATCAAGAACCTAAATGATGATTCCTGTCTCTGCAAAGTCAACTTTATCAAGGTAACGCAGGTGGCATGTCAGCTCTGGCCCTGGAAGGGCTATAGCAGAGCCAGAACTTCGGGACCCAGGGCATTTTGGGGAGTTTTCCATCCTCACCTTTGTGCCAACAGACACTCAGTGCCCCGTGCTCCCTGGGCCCAGCCCTCTCCCTGTCTCTTCACCACAGCCATGGCCCCCTCATGGCTGCCCTGCATCCACACTTATTCCCATAAGATCTATCCTCAGTACAGCAGCCAGAGGGATCCTTTTAAGACATGAGTCATTTCAGATCATTTATGTGACGAAAATACTCCAGCAGTTTCCATCTTACTCAGAGTGGAGAGCTGGTGCCCTCAGCATGTTCACAGGCCCTGAACTGTCTGCTGGGTGCAGGGAAAGCTGAACTGCCAGAATATAGCATGAAAATGTCACTCAACTTTATTCGTTTCCAAGTGTGGATTCTGTTGTAGCTAAAAATAGTACTAGACTTTTTGATTTATGGAGAAATGTCTTCTGTTCTTTCATAGAGATTTTTAGGTAATAGTTTTGAAAATTTTCAACTCTAGGGGGTTAGCGCTCCCTCTGCTGGCTGCAGTCAGGTACTGCATAAAATAGTCTCTGAGAATGAGCAGACCTAGCACTTGGGAAATTTTAAAGAAACGGAGATTTCAGCAACCACCTTGATTGGTTTCTAATTCCTTTTGATAAAAAAATTATGAGTTAAATTTCTTTTAAATTACAACCAGCGCTATGAAGACAGCTAGGGAATTCTACCTGTGAGGGGTGGTAAAGACCCTGGACTCCTGGTGTGGCTCTGTGGGATAATACGCTGGACCACAAGGTCAGTTTGAACCTCAAGGTCAGCAGTTCAAACTCAGCAGCCGCTCCTCAGAAAGCCTATACAGGGGTGCTATGAGTCGGAACCGACTCGATGGCACTTAATAACCCAAAGGCCAACCACACTACTTGGCAAATGTCTAAGAGTAGGCGTGAGCCTTGCCTTCCATTTCTTTATAGTTGAAGTCAAAGTATAAAACGAAAAATGTGTCTTCCATAGATAGTACTTATTCAGTTAAGGACTGCAGATTGAGAGTTAACTATTGACTTTCATTAAATAACTAAAAGTACAATTTAAAAACAGCACCCAGAGTTGATCAAGTCTGTGTGGTGTAGAACTCACACGCTCTCTGTTTCTTTTTCTTTTCTTAATATCTGGGGAATAGTACTAAACGGACATCTCTTATTTGAATTCTAGGCAAAATACTGGAGCACTAATGCCCACGAGATTGAAGGCACGGTATTTGACAAGACAGGCAAGGCGGTGCATCGACTGTTTGGGAAATGGCATGAGAGCATCTACTGTGGTGGTTCCTCCTCCTCCACTTGTGTCTGGAGAGCAAGTCAGTGACCACGTTCCTCAGTCCAGCAAAGGGCAGTGGGAGGGGGGTGAGGCAAGAGGAGCCACAGTCGGATCGGCATCCGCGTCCATTCAGACTCTCCAGCCTCCACCTGTGTGAACTCAGCTCGAGGCAGGCGCTGGGCCTTACAGCTTTCATCTAGCCCTCTCCATGTCTGTCAGCCACACCTGGCAGGCTGTTAGGCCCTGGGTTCTTAATTCTGGGAGGAAGCCAATGTTGCTCCCTAATCATTCTCTGAGGGGATACTGTAGTCAGCACATTTGCTGAACATCACTCCTGGGCTTAAGTAGACACTAAGAAGGAATGTCAGTGATTTGGTACAAGAGTACGGGCAGAGAGAAGGTTACTGAAATGGCAGACTTGGGGTTCACGTAAGAGTTGGGGAGCCTACAGGTTCACCAACACCGTAGGTGACTCTGATCTCCACTGTGGTTCCAGAAGGATGCTGAATCCTTGAAGCTGCCCAGAGAAAAAGGGCTCAGGAACCCAGACCTTCATCAACAAATACATCCCCACAACATTTTAAAGACATTTGTATATCTTCTAAGCTGTTTCCAAATCATAGTCATATTATACAACCTTTGTTTGGAGATGCATCTATTAGGATTCTTTAGGCTGATTTAAAAAAATAAACAAAAATCATTCTAATCATCATGGTTTAAACCATTAGGTTATGTGTTGCTATTTAACAATAAGAGAGGAAGCCGGTAGCTCCAACACATCTGTGTCAAGGACAGAGCTCACCAAAGACACATCCTACCATTCCCAGTGTAGTGGTGCGTTCCTCACGATTGTAAAATGTCACAATTCAGTATTGTTTCCCCATGTGATAGCATACCTAACAAGGAAGCAGAAAGACAAAAGAGCATTCTTCTCGCCTGCCTCTGTTTAGGAATGAAATATTTTCCAGATGTCTCCTGTAAATGTGTCTTTGCATCTCATCCACCTGCCCTGGATTCAACTCATCCCTGAACCAGTCCCTAGCAAAGGGGTGGGTATGGGGAGATGCAGATTGCCCTAAATGCATCTTTGGAGGAAGGCTACCTGAGTAGGAACAATGTTCCACTAACAAGTTAGATAGAGGCATGACTCTAGAGTAGGCACCCAGTGATGTTTCTTTCAGTGGGTACCAATCACATCTTCCATCATCCTCACAGAGGTTTCCAGGAAGCTAGAATGAATTAGCAACAGTGGCATTCTTTGTTGCTGCAGGGGTCCACAGACACCTGTGAGATTTTACAAGATACACTGCTATGGATTGAATTGTGTCCTCCCAAAATACATGTTGAAATCCTAACCCCTGTACTTGTGGTATGGTACTATGGGTTAATGTGCTGGACTGCAAGGTTGGTTTGAACTGCATGGTCAGTGATTCAAACTCACCAGTCACTCCTTGGAAACCCTATACAGGGTCCCTAAGGATCAGAATCTACTCGACAGCACTTAACAACAACGACAATACTTGTGGATAAAATCTGCTTTGGAAATAGGTTTCTTGTGTTAATTAGATCATGTTCAAGTAGGGTGCATACCAAATCTAATCATTACTGGGATCTAAAAAGAGCAGATGAGGCACACATGGGGGAAGAAAGTTTTGCCTGGATGAAGGAATACTGTTTAATTGGGTGTTGAACTTTATGTCTGTGCATTGGCCATGAGCGTTTCTACTTACCTTCTAGAAAAACCATGTTCTTCATGTATTACTGTTATATTGCTGCAAATTATCACAACCTTAAGTGGCTTAAAATAACCCTAATGTATTATCACAAGTTCTAGTGGTCAGAGACCCAAAATCAAGATGGTGGCAGGACTGTATTTCTTATGGAGGCCTTGGGGGAGAATTTATTCTTTTGCCTTGTCTAGCTCTTAGAGGTGGCCAGCATTTCTTGGCTCATCTTCAAAGCCTGTAGAATTGCATCTTCCACTTGGTCTTTCTGACTGTGACCTTCCTGCCTTCCTCTACTAAACACATTTGTGATTGCATTGAACCCACCTGGGTTAAGTCAGGAGACTCTCCCCATCTCAAGACCCTTAATCTAATCATTTCAACAAGTACCTTTTGGCTGCAAGATATGTTCACAGGTTCCAGGAATTAGGAAGTGGGTGTCTTTGGAAGACCATTATTTTATCTACCAAATTCCACTCTCTCAGTTGCTGAGGTGAGTGCAGGTATAGATTTTTAAAGACACAATAGGAAGCTTTTCTGTTAATTTTATGCTGCAGATACAAGAAAATCAAGACTAGTTATAGAAGAACTTATGAATGTTTCCCCCAAAATGACTCTACAGAAAAGTTCAGAGGAAGCATTTGTGGTTTTGTTTTTAAATGTATATTTGCTGTTGAGAGTGTACCCAACAGAACATACATTAACTCACCACTGTCTACATAGACAGTTCAGTGACGTTAATTACATTCTTCCTGGTGTTCAGCCATTCTCACTATTCCTTTCCTAGTTGTCTCCCCGCTTCACCTGCCCCATTAATGGGAACACACTGCCCCCTAAATTTCTCTTTTGAGTTTTCTTTACTGAACAATTCTACTTTTCTATGTCTTAATTGACCTGGGTGTATTTCTCTAACTTTTTATTGTGATCAGGGTGGAGGTTGTTACAGCAGACTAGGTTTCCATACAACAATTCCTCCACCTTTATTTCATGATGTTGATTAAAAAGCCCGTGATGTACCAGCACTCTTCCTACTTCCTCCCTGTGCTTGCTGAGTCCATTCATCCTTCTTTCCTCCCATCCTTTCCTGACTTTTGAGCTTTAGTTTTGTTAAGTGCTATGGAGTCGGTACCAACTCATAACAACCTGGTATAGGGTTTCCCAGGTGGGTTGAACACTGGCCTTGTGTTTTGTAGTCCTGTACTTATCCTACAGTGAGTGGGTTATATGCCTGGGTAAATGCTGCTCTTTGGATCTTGTATTGTTGGCAGTTCTGCAGAGAGCATTTGTGTTTGTATATGTGAATAGTGAGAGCTATTATGGATTTTATTTGTCTAGATTGAATTTACCCAACATGTAATTGTATTATTTTTAGCTGGGTTTCAAGATAGGGCAACAATACATCTAATATTTCTGCATTTTAATATGTAAGATTTAGGAGGGGGAGGCAAAACTTATTGAAAAGGAGGCCAGGGATGAAAAACAAACATTCATATTGTCCACTTTTCTATGACTTCAGTGCTGTTTAGGTACTAGACAGATGGAGTTTGGGAAGGCCTTGATAACCCTCAAATGAAAACTGAATTTGAGAGAGAGATGTTAATCATTAAATCAGATTCAGAATTGTTTTAAACATGTTTATTTAATAAGTTGTTTTTTCAGTGTTAAACAATATAGAATGAAATTTTACAGCATCATATAATTTGATATATGTCCCAGACAAAGGATGCTTTATCCCGGTAGATAGAAAAAAAAAATTGTAGAGAGAAGAAATCGTATATTTTAATAATATTAGAACAGTTTACAGCTGGGTGGGGGGGAAGAGGTTGGAATTATAGTAGCTGGCCACAGATGAAAACAATGTAGAAATTAAAATGTAACAGCAATGAATTGTTTCTTTTTCTTTTAGATCCCATGCCCAAAGGCTATGAACAATATTATGGCTTCACACAGTTTGCTCTAGAATTAAATGAAGTAGATCCATTGTTGAAGACATTATTACCACCTACCGACACTCGATTTAGACCAGACCAAAGGTAAGGATTTCATATAAGGTCTTTCTCTCCAGAAATGTAAAATTCTCTGCAAAGACTCTTACTAACTATCCAAGGCCACCAGAGGATCCTGAGAGAGGTAGATGATGTCTTGAGGCTTTAATGAACTATGTTGACAGGGAAGGATTGGAGCCCAGCTTAGATCTGTGTTGCGCTGCCTTTATTCACTGTGGTGGTGGTGGTGGTGGTTATGTGCCGTGGAGTCGGTTCCAACTCATAGCGACCCTGTGCAAGGTTTCCAAGGCTGTAAATCTTTACGGGAGCTGAAAGCCTCATCTTTTTCCCACGGAACAACTGGTAGTTTTGGACTGCTGACCTTGAGGGTAGCAGCCTAACTTATAACCACTATGCTACCAGAGTTCTTTATCATTGTAGAGACCCATTTGTATTGAAATACCAAAAAAGTGTTTCGTTTTACTGCTGTAATGGAGAGCTTCCCTTCTTATTGAGTATTTGAAAGAACAGGAAGCTATAGCACTTGGCTCCAACCCCATATGTGAATCATTTGGATGCACCAAGATCTATGTGTGGCATATGAGGAATCTTTTCATCTTCCTCAGCTTCAGTTTTCTGCACTGTAAAAAAAAGACTTTTTTCTACCCTAAATCCAAGACTCAAAAACCTGAAACCAAAAAAGAAAAGATCGATAAAACTAATTTTATTTTTAAAAATCATTGCTCAGCACAAAATAAATAAATATATATAACCAAAGTCAAAAGACAAATGGTAGCCTGAAACAATATACAAACTGTATCTTCCAAAAAAGTTTGTGGAAAAATGGAATTACATGATAATGGAATCTTTCCACGAACTTTTTGAAACCCCCTCATATTTGCCACTTGGTAACGTACACATAAATTCTTATCCCTATTTCAATATTTAAAAGTAATGTGGTTTCAGAATTTTCCTCAGATATGCTCTGTTGTCGTTGTTAAGCGCTAAATAATTGGTTCTGACTCATAGCAACCCTGTACAGAGTTTGCAAGGCTGCAAATGTTTGCAGGAGCAAAAAGGCCTCATCTTTCTCCCGCAGAGTAGCAGGTGGGCTCAAACCTCTGACCCTGTGGTTTGTGGTCAGTGCTTATCCTACAGGCCCACCAGATAGATATGCATACCCATGTGCAAAATGGCCACTATTGGGAACAACTAAAATGCCTATCAATAGGGAATTTTAAAAGTTACATATCACATACACACTAGCATATTATACAGTTGTATAAAAAGATGAAGATGTATATGTATTGTTATAGAAATTCAAGATACATTGTTAAGTAAAAAATAGAACATAAAACCAAGGTACAGACATAATATGAATATGTAACATGCTATCATTTATGTTTAAAAAAAAGAAGAGGATAAGAAGAAACCTATATGTTTGCTTATATATGCATAAAGAATCTCTAGGCAGATGCACAGGAAACTAACAACAGTGAGTTACCTGAGGTGGGGAGGAGTAAGTAGAATTCGAGACAGGAGGGAGAGAGAAACTTTACCCCAAATTACTATTATGAACCATGAAAATATATCACAAATTAAAAAAGAAGGATATATTTCTGAACTACCTCAAAACATTGTTTTAGGGGCTGGGAGGAGGGGTCTTGCTTCTGAGAAAGCATTTTAAGAATCTAGTCTTGGATAGATGCAAGTTTAGAAATAGTTGTTAGTGTGTTTTCTTGGAATCGCTATTCAGTTTTTCTCCTCAATGCTTCAGGTTTCTCGAAGAAGGGAACTTAGAAGAAGCTGAAATGCAGAAGCAGAGGATTGAGCAGCTGCAGAGAGAACGGCGGCGGGTGTTAGAAGAAAACAACTTGGAGCACCAGCCTCGGTTTTTCAGGTGTGTGAGGGGACCGTTGACAGGTACTGACCAGGTTTGATGCTTCTGGTGTGAAGAGAGTAAAGGGAGTGCTCCGTCCCTGGTCCCTGGCTGAGCGCCTTCTCAGTGCCTTTCTTGCCTCAGCTGCTCCAGGAGCTGAATGTCTGAGGCTGCTTGCTCAGGGTTCACTCTTCCTGGTGTTTTTCTCAGGCAGAGTAGTACCTTCACCTTTGGTGGCCTTGCTCTCCCAGCTGACCCAGCGAGTGTGCCAAGGGAGGGACTCAGTAAATGCTTGGGAAAGAAGAAAGGAGAAGGCACCAGAACCTGGCCCCCAATTCTGAGTCAGCTCATTAAATTTGTGTCCCAGGTTGGTTCCCCCTGTACACATATCATACACAATGACTATGATCATTAATAATCACTTTACCGGTTACCAAAATGGAAATTCCAAATCATCTAATTCTTGTATTGCCAAAGTTCCACGACACATGAGCTTGGATGTGGAACATTTACTGTAATTTAAAAAATAACTTGTTAAGAAGGTTTTAGTAGACTTAAAAACTTAGAAGATGTGAAGGAAGGAAGGCCTAGGAATGTAGTTGATTTATTGAAGGAAGCTGTGGAATGTTCCAAGCTAGGGCCTGGCTCTTGCCAGGGCGCAATACAATTTTAGTACTAAATGAAAACAAGCAAGCTTAGAAAAGCTGCAAGACCTGCCCTGCCCTACCCTTTACATCCTAATCTTACATGTAGGGGAAACAGAATTTTTATTTATTTATTTTTGTTTAGGTTTGGCTTAGTGGGCAGACAGCATCAATAATCTGTTATCATCAGTAATAAAATATGCATTCCAAACAGCAAAGCAGTAACTATCAAAGTTTTAGTCCAAAAACATAATACTCTTCAAAACACCAACGAGATATCATCTCATACAAGCAATAACAGTGAAGTTCAAAAAAAGCAGAGGACAATAAATGCTGGCGAGGATGTGAAGCGACTAGGACCTTCCCACATTGCTGGTGGAATTGTGAAATGGTCCAATCACTCTGGAAAACAGGATGGCGCTTCCTCAGAAAGTTGGAAATAGAAATACCTCAGGACCCACAAATTCCTCTACTTGGTATTTACCCACAAGGAATATGAGCCCTAACACAAGTAGATATATGCACATAGCAGCACTATTCACAATAGCAAAATGATTGAGACAAAAACATTATGCCCTTTTCCATAAAATTGTTGTAGACTTTGGTCAGTCCCAGCTGATGATTTCTACAAACTCAGGATATAAGCAAATTGAAGATTAACTGGCCAGAGTCTCATTTCCAAATATTTCTGACATTGTTTAAACACTTAAAAAATAAGATTTAAAAATGCCATTGAGTTGATCCCAACTCATCATGACCCTGTAGGGTGGAGGAGAACTGCCCCATCTGGTTTCCAAGGCTGCTGTCTTCACAGAAACAGACAGCCACAGCTTTCTCCTTGTAGTAACTGCGAGTTCCACCCGAGGACCAGAGACACTCAAATTCTCTTTTGCAAAGGCCAGAGATGATTCCTGGTCCTATCAATTGGTAGACACAAGCATAAACTCTCAGGCAGATTCTTCTACTTTTTTCTTTTATAAATCAGCAAGTTCTATTTTTAAAAAAGGAAAATCCACATAAAGATGTGCATTACAGTATCTTTTGTTGTTGTTGCTAAGTGCTGTTGAGTTGGCTCTGACCCATAGCGACCCTGTATTGGTTTCTGAGGAGCAGTCTGGTGCATTAACCCACAGCACCACATCAGGGGACTCCACAGAATCTTTTAGGATGATTAAAAATTGTGTTGAACCAACCTGTTCAAGGACTAATTAAGGAGATATGACACCTCAGTTTTATGTAAAAGCATTAGAAATGATGTCCCAACATCTTGGGGTCACTGAAATATAAGACTGATGTAGCCTCTGACTCAGACCATGCATATACAAATTGCAGCTGAGGTGGCAATGACTCTCCTTCCTTTGGATTATAAAATTGTTGGAGTATTATTTTAGCAGGAAAATGAAAAATGGGAGAAAACACCAGAGTTGTTTGGCAGTATTAGCCTTGCTTGGGCCTGGGGATGTGGATATTATCATTAACACCTACTGACTGTTACCACTTACCATTGACACTTACTGAGAAACAAAGTAGAGATTTCACCTGATGGTGTCCCATGAACACCAAGTTTGATTTTAGCTGCATGTCTTAGTCACGATGGTTACTCTCATCCCAGCCGTGTTTTATATACAACACACTGCTCCTGTCTCCCACCCCGTCTCCCTCAGTAACACCACTTTCCACAGTGTCTGTCTTTGAAAGGAGGCCTGGGCAGTATAAATAGTCACTGCACTCTGTTACTAACTGAAAGGTTGAAGGTTCGAGGCCACCCAGGTACCTTGAGGTACCTTGGAAGGAGGACCTGGTGATCTGCTTCTGAAATGTCAACCATTGAAAACCCAGTGGAGCACAGTTCTTCTCTGACACACATGGGGTCAGAACCAACTCATTGCAATGTTTCTATTGTTGTTTTGTTTGGAAAATTTAAAGCTCGAAGTAACAAACACAGTTTCCTGACTTTCAGTTCCCTCTCTGTCCCCAAACTGATCTATCAGGGATTTTGAATGGTTGTGAGAAGGGGGTGGGGGTGGGGGCAGCGGAACAAAGGAAAAGAAAGAAATGGGATTTAAAAATATTTCCAAGAGTCTTCAAGAAATTGTTTGTTTGACAGGAAATCCAATGATGAGTCTTGGGTGAGCAACGGTACCTATTTGGAACTTAGAAGAGACCTTGGCTTTTCCAAATTGGACCATCCTGTCTTGTGGTGAAAAGGAAGACAAAGATATGTCAGTGTTGATGCTCGGGTGTTTACTTTCTGAAGCCGCACAAATCTGTCTCTATATTTAAAAGATCTTGTCTAAAATGATTAATTGTGCTTATCTTATCATTGTAAGTATTTAAGTATATATTTTCTTTCTTGGGTTTCTTCATAGTTTTAACTGTTACCATGATTGTTTATATGAATGTAGAACACGGTGAGATTTCTTTTTATATAGGAACTGTTTCAAATGAAAGACTGAATGTTAACATGTGGCTTAAAAAAGAAGCTTTAACACTAATTTTCCAAAGGCTAGGGAAAATTCAAATTAAAGTTTTGCCTTATAGAACTATGTTGGAGTTAAAAAGGAAAAAAAAATCAGTCTCTCCCCAGGTGCATTAAGAAACCAGAAAAAAAAAAAATTTATCCAGGGTTACTCACCCAAGCGTAAGCTACCCAAGTTTCAGTTGGTAGCTCAGATCTCTTTTTGCCTCAGATAGCTCTTGAATTACTCATATAGGGTAATTCAGCCTGTGCTGGAGTCTGAAGCATCCTACTGTTTGCCTTTTGTGGTTGAGGGATGTTATAGAATTAATGGAATATACATTTTTATAGAAAGTGAATATAGCTCCTTCTGAAAGAGGAAAAGCATTTGCACTCATTATTTTGTTGCCTTATGTGCAAAATTATACCCTGTTGCTGCCTCATTAATTAAATGCCCTAATGCCACCTCAGAGAAGAAATGGGAAAGTTTAGCGAGACCTGAATCCTTGATGAATCAAGAAACTTTCCTGCTTCCTGCCCCAGCCTTGCTGCCCTCCTGTTAGGCCCCATCTCTTCTGAGTGTTGAAAGTCCCAGTTTAATGTAAAACACACCATGCATCACACACAAACACACACACACACACAGCAATTTGACTTTCTAAAAGGCTGACAAATTCACTAATGGTTTTAAAGAACTGAAGATGCTTTTCTTAAATACTGTTTTGGTATTTTCTACCTCTTGATAAGTACTATATTTTAGATCTTGTATAAAAAGTTTGACCATCTGCCTTATAGACAAATGTAGAGACTTGATGTTCTTCCTTTGTGCTGTTTGTCTTCTGATAAAACGCTAATTACCTTCTTGCCCTTTCCTACACTTATTTATATCACTATTTTGTGAGTTTTGCAGCAGTCTCAGATAATTGGGATTAGAACCACTGAAAGGGGCAACTCTGTCTTTTTTTAATGTGTTATTCTGAATTAGAATAGTATAATTGGTGTAAGCCCTGGTATGGCTCCATAGGATAAGCACTCGACCTCAACATTGGTTTAAACCACAAGGTCAGTGGTTCAAACTTACCAGCCACTCCTCAGAAACCCTTATACAGGGTTGCTATGAGTCAGAAGCAACTTGACATCACTTAACTAAAGCAACAACAATTGGTGCACTAGTTGAATTGTGTTATCAATTCAATTCCAGATTTCATCAAATCCAAAGCCTAATTTTTTTAAGCCTTCTGCTCTCATGTCAGTAGCAATTCTGTGGGAACTAAAGTATAATAATGTGGTTATAAGATTTCTCCAGAAAAACAATTGTTTTTAGATACGTAAAGAATCTCAGAGCATATGGGATACTGTGAATGAAGAGTAGAGTAAATCGCAGAAAAAGACTGCCTGAGTTTTCAGTGCACCTCCAGTAACCAGTTGGACAGTATCATGGTTTCTAAATGGAGAGTTATTTAAAGTGGATCAGTAAGTAGCCTTTTAGAATCTGTAAGTGACTGGCATTTTAAACCACTAAATGGCTGGTTACATATTGGATTCACTTACTCCATTTTATCCTGACATGATGATGAACACAATGTGCATATCATTTCCATATCTAAGCAGCTGAATGACACAGTCTCATTCTTTGCTGTATTCTTTGTTCTTTTCTTTGAAAGCATCCATCCAAATTCTGCTCACAGACATGAGGAAACTGGCTACAGATTTTAAGGGTACTCAAGGAGAAAACAAATCTAGTTTTCACGTGAGGGTAAAAGTACAATTTTAGTAATATTGCCTGTTAAATAGGCCTGCTCCAGAGGCCAGATCACAAAACAAAACAACAAAAAATAAAACCCCACAGTCTGATTAGATATAATTGCATCATAAGTACACTTTAATTCTTTAATTGCCCCCATGCTAGTATTTCAGTTACTCTTCTGCTTTACTTTGGAATCAGAGAACTAGATAAAGTATCACCTCTGTAGTCATTTTAATTAAGAGAGGGGCAGGGGTGTGAATTAGCATAGGATGCAGGACTGTACACCGATCTAAACACCTACTAGTCAGTATAACATCTACAAGGGCTGTTCTGACATTTAAACAGCCCAGTGATGCATCCTGCTGCTATTATATTCTTGAAACCTTGAGGAGAAGTGGTTTTGTTTTTTTCCCCCTTCAGTCTTTATTCTCAATAGCACTTTCCCACCTAATTTATATCACAAGGAAATCTTCTGTTCCTAAGGTAATGAAAACAGGAACGTTACACCCGGTTGGGAAGAATTGAGGCAGAATTTAATTTCCGGGACTCTTAGTCTCTCAATTAAATAATGCCAATCGCTGCACCATTTGAGATACATGTTTTAACCTCCATTTGATTTCTAAGTATTTCTATCCAAATTAATGGTGAACTACATAGCTATTCCAGGAAAGTCTTTTTTTACAGCTCCTGTTTTGTTAATGACTCCCCAAACTAAACAAGCCACTTAGAAACATGCCAGCACTCTCCAGGGTAGTGAGTGGGCCAGACCAGGCCCCTCCCTGGCCCCAAAGAAGACTACCAGTTGCCATCAAGTCGATTCTAACTCATGATGACTTTATGTGTCTCAAAGTAGAACTGTGCTCCATAAGGTTCTCATTGGCTGAACATTTTCTAAAGTAGATCACCAAGCCTTTCTGCCAGGTACCTCTGGCTGGACTTGAACCTCTGACCTTTTCATTGGAAGCCAAACACATTAACCATTTTTACCACCCGGGAACTCCACCACACCCTAGTAATTTTCCTGAGTCCAGTGCGTTCTTAGGTCTCAGAGTAGCCTTCCCAGGCACTTGTCCATACCCACAGGAGCCAGGCTAGTTCTGATACTAACGAAACAGACAAGTTTCATTGTAGGACAGTGGTACCCAGAATGCCTAGCAGCCCCACTGACTTCATGTGCTTCCTATGAGACTCTTCGGGGAGAAATATATATATATATATATATATATAAACTGATTATTTTTTAATGTTTACTTCATTTGGACTGCTGCTTTTTCTCATATTCTGCTTTGAATTACTTCCAATAAATCACTTGCTTGGGTTTCAAGCATTATCTTTCTGCATTTTCCAGATTTATGAGGAGTGGTTCTGTTCTGCTTTTAAACATGTCAAGCCGAAGAGAAACATAATAGTCTTAGTTCGGCTGTTGAGCCTTCATATAGGCCTTATACATATACTGCATTTCAGCAATCATAGAATTTCCTCAGACATGGTAGCCATGAGTAGGGACAAAAATAACCTGTTCTTTCCATCGTAGAATGTTCTAATGCAACAGCATAATTTATTTGAACGTCTTTAATTTTGATATTAACATCTCCATAAATCTATTTTTGCTACAAGATGATGGCTATTTTCATGTGCTTCATTTTTCTCAGCCTTGTGTCAATCTGTTCCTTTTTGTCAGTGTTTCTTTCTGGCATTGGGAACATGTATCACACAAGTTTCTGCAAGTATGGCAGCCTAAAATGGGAACTGTCTTCAGAGACTTTGATTTGGAGGATGCAGTGATCAGAAGTTGCCAGTTGATTTTCCTCCTTTCTTATTCTCAGAGGCAACTGACTTTTTTTTGTTTTTTTTTTTTACCAAATATTTGTAAATCTTCCATTTAACTGTTTGTAAAATTACTTTCTGTTTAAGTTCCACTTGTACACCCCATATTCCTATGCCTCTTCAAAAGAGCTTTTACTAATTTGTTTTTCCCCCTCATGTAGCTAGTAGACTGTGAATAAATAACATGAAAAACAGCCACTTTTGTCTTTGTCTTTCCAGGCAAATGGGAATATGTGGCTGCTGAGAGGGGTCTGGCGAGGGGTGGGCAACTCTTGCTAAACTCTTTGAAGGAAGAATGAAAGCACAGTAGACTACGTGAAGTGATGGGGGTTGAATAAAGCCATAGCTTTAGTCTCAATATGTTCAAAGCACACCACAAAGAGAGATCCCCCCACGCTCAGAATGGGAGCCTGAGGCAACAGGAGACCCACACAGGTCCCCCTCCTCCTCGCTTGACCCCTGCACAGCATGCGTCGGAAATACCGCTTTTTTTGTGTGTGTGTTCTAACATGTAAAAGAGAAATGCTGACTTTTATGAGGCTTTGTGCTCCCGCAAAGATTTGCAACCTCTGAAACCCTATACAGGGTCACTGAGTCCGAACTGGCTCAACAGCACTTAGCAAAACAACATTCTACCCTGTCATGTAGAATTGCTGTGAGTCGAAACCTAGTCTATGGTACGCAACAACATGAATGACTGAACCATCTCCTATACCTAAGTAGTGTCCTTGGAAATGCCAGAGATACTTTTAGCTTTCACTAAAGTTCCCTTTGACTCAATTGATACATTTATGAGTTTACACAATGTATTCCATCAAGAGGTTATACATAAAGTCATGTCTCTGCATCCCTAAGAATGCTTAAACAGGCAACCAAAACCAATGTATAAACCTTGATTGGAGCCTAGTGTAAGGGGATGGGGAGCTAAAAAAGGCATTTTGAGGATAGTGGATGAAATTTGCATGTGACCATAGTATTAGACGATAACATGAAATTTTTGATAATTTTCTTAAATGTAATATAGGCTGTTGAACTCAATCAAATCTGCCATCAAAAAATGTTGGAATAATTTTTCCAGCATTATTCAAAATAACATGTTGTGGACATAAAAGGAAAACTTAAAAAGCCACCTTAGGACATTTTAACATGTCAGCTATTCCTGGAATAGGCACAAAGCATTCTAAAGTGTAGACTTTGAGGAGGCAAAATTTGGAGGTATAAGTTCCGGGCCATGTTAGTTTCTGTCATGCTAACCATTTATCAGTGTTAGGAAGGTAATGTCCTTCTGTGATCCACACCAGAGTAAGAACTGTCCCAGCCACAATGAGCCCCGGTGCTGCTGTAGGGTTAGGCTTGCTAGGTTGACGGTTCAAACCCACCAGCTACTCCATAGGAGGAAGATGAGACTGCGTCCAGAAAGATATACTGTCTCAGAAACACTACATTGGGGTGCTATGAGTGAATCAATGACCACAGAGGGATCCCAACCTCTGTCTCCTCTGGCCTCCACAGTGCCCCCTAGTGGCTGAGCCTAGGTGAGCACAGGAGCCAAGGTGATGCAGCTTAGCTCCGGGGGTCTGGGGAGGATTAATAGATCAACAGGCTCTTGGACCAGGTGTTCCCTCAGAATAGTTAATGCTGGACTTTAGAGGGGTTTCTAAAGATAAAAAGGCTTAAAGGTCTTTTTTTTTTTTTTTTTTTTTTTTAAGGGAGAGTTTGTTAAATTACTTTGGCTTCCATTTAGGGTGAATTGTGATTAGCTGTGCTTTTTAAAAACTCTTTCATTCTCAGCGATATAGCTTGTGTTAAAATGTTTTTAATGAGCTAACGGCAGGATTTTCTCTGGATTCACTGCCATTATAA